ATTCCAATCTTTGTCTTTAAAACAATGCCTGCCAGCCTCTCCTCTTACCATGCATCCCTTTGCAGGACAAAAGACAACAGTATGCACACTCCTCTCTTCCTTCACATATGGATTTATCATTTTCCTCAGTCATTACTCAAGCCAAAAATCTGAACATCCCAACTTTAACAGCTGTCCAGATTAAGCATCTTTGTGCAAGGTTGTGTTCTCAACTCTATACTAAAGCAATAAGCCACGAGAGGCCAGTGATTTTAACAAAGGGTTGTTGTTGTTGTTGTTAGGGTTGTCATAAAGCAAAATGAAGAATATGTACACGAAAAGGAATAGAAATAAGTATGTTTTAAATGTATATGCCAAACTACATTTCAAAAAAGGGATAATATTCCATTGACACTTACAGTTCAGATATTGTATCATTAAATTATAGGCCAGGAAAAACACATTTCTAAAAGCCAGCATAGCCTTCAATTTTAAAATTGGAAGTTTGTGGTTTTTAGTCCCTATCTGTTAGCTGGCTAGTCAGTGTGAACATTATGTCAATGCTAGCTAAATTTAGTACAAATCATTGATTAGTTAGGGTAGTTAGGTAACTCAGTAGAAGTATTTGATAGTATGATAGTGAAGGATATGATTAAAGTGTAAAATAAATCATAAAAAAATCATAAGGTCCATTTACACATGTTTACAGAAGATACAAGCAGTGCTTATTGAGGTACTTTGCAGTCACACTGGTGGTTGGCAGTAGTTTGTTATTCATATCCTTATTATGATCATGGTATAAGAAATCACAGTCATAATTCTCTGAAATAATACATACAGGAACAAAGGAATATAACAGCACCAAGAAAACAAATTATGGAGGATATTTTATAAAAGTTATAAACATTGTGGCAAAAAAAAAAAAACTGTATATCTTTGGAACACTAAGTGGTGCTGCCTTCCAACTTCTCATATACCTTGATGTTATGCTGTCAATGATCCCTACCAAATTTTGTGCCAATATGTCAAAGTGTTTAAAAGATATAAATATTTACATCAAAGTCTCAAAATGGTACATGGGCATTTTGTCCACATCTGGCAATCTTGCTATAAATGCATTCAGCAGGACTCAAGGAACACATAGACAAACATTTCACAAGTTATAAGCAAAATATTTAAGATTTCATGACCTGTAGGTGGCGCTTTCATTCATTTTAGCAGGTATCCTCAAATCATAGTGCTAATGAAGCATACCTGAAATTAAAACATAAATTATAATTTCCAGGACAAAGCGTTCAAACTTTTTACCCAGAGAAATGTGAATATTTGAATTGATGGTAGCACTACAGAGTTGGTTTGAGAGACCTCAAAGTTGGCCTGAGGCCTATTCATTCATAAAATGTCAACAAACACCATGTTCTTTACGTAATGACAGATATCGCTCTCAGTTTTTAAACCTTTTATATCGTTACTCCAAACTAAGCCAATCCATTTTATTTTCCAATCAAAATGTGGGTAATGACATGTAATTCTGCAACTGAAAAAGCATTCTCGTTGACAAACACTCTGAAGTGCCGTAATTTTGTTTTTGAAGTCTCTTTGTTTTATTGGTCTGTTTTATAGGAGGTCATTCTCTTGTGTTTTGGTGTGTATTTAGTGTATACTTCTGTGTGTGACACTTGTCAGAGGGACGTCTCTGGTGCCTGAGTGTTGACAGGGTGTGCATGTGACCTTTGTGTGAATGGCCATCCATTATAGAACGACGGGGAAGATAAGGACAGAGGTCTGTCCTATTAGAGAGCTGCGTGTGTGTCTGTGTGAGTGTGTGTGTAGGTGAACACTCAGCTCTTTATGTCTAGCCTTCATTCTTGTGTGCACTGAAGCATATGGGTAGACCTGACTGGAGAGGGGATGTAGATAAGAGTGATATAAAGCCAGACTCTTCATAAGGTGTGTGTGTGTGTGTGTGTGTGTATGTGTGTTTGAATGGTCTGTGTATTATTAACATTCCATGCTTTAGGGGCATTCATTGGTCATTATGAGGGTTAAAAGAATGTTCCGGGTTGAAGCTTTGTGGACAGCATCTGTGACACTGCTGATTGACACAGAAAACTATTGCGACTTGATTTGTGTAAAATAAGGAGGAAAATCCACCATGTTACTAATGCATAGTCCCAAATTAATCCACTGAGAAAAGTTGTCCTACTTACAAAAAAAGATGATGTAGCAGAGCTGGGACAGGCCTTCGAAGTCTCAAGCCACTCTGACGATTCTGCCAAAGACAGTTGAACAAAAGGGCCCTCAGCTATAACAGTGTGAGCTGAGTACTTGGGCCCCGAGATCCTCCAGAGCATGTAAACTTCAGCATACTAGTTGATGATTTTGTGATGAGGATGGCAAGAAAGAAATACCGTATAAGAAAGCTTGGCCTGAATAGCAAGAGATTGTATTGTCACTTCCTAACTGTCCTAAAAATTGTTTTGGTTGGGCCTCCAAAAACATATGCTCAGGGGCCGGCCCTGCAATCTAGACAACTTTACAGCTCAAACAGCTCACATTATTACATGGTACGCATTATTAAAGTACAAGCTGCACATTTCTGCTTTTAAACTCTCCTGTACACTTGGCTGATAATGTATTGAAGGCACATTATTATGACACGACTTTTCACAAACTGAGAGTTGAGTCAATTATTTTTTTCAGTGGTAATGGACAGCATATCTCAGGCGCTGCTATATCAAGTCATATCCATAACTCAAGGCCATAATCATGTCTTGAACATGACCAAACCAAGTATTTAAGAGATTTAAAGGTATCATCAGGAATGAAAATAAAACTTAGAATTTACTGTAAAGTAATCCATTCAAACCAACTCTGCAAATATTTTTACTGATAGCCTGTATTATCCATGGACACTTGTCATATTTCTGGGATTTTCCAAAGTGGAAGTCGTCATAGTTGGGTAAACTTATAACTGTACTGGTGAACTACAACAAATATTATTTTTGCATTCCTATTTGATCCAATAGCACAATTAAAAACCCATGATAGTATTTCTATGACTTTCCAAAAGAAGAAAACATATATTGAGAGATTGATTACATTAGTCAGAAAAGAGAAAGATGTCAAAGACTTGTTGCCCTCACTGGCTATGGTGGTTACGGTCATGTAACAACTCACAGTAGCTCATCACAACCAGGAAGAGTCCAAACCCCATCAGATAGAGCAGGCCATGCTCAGCTGTTTCGCTTCACTCTCAGCCTAAGGTTATCTTTCCTTCTCTCCATCAATCTGTCCATGCCTCCCTCAGTCTGTGTACGGTTTAGTGTTTGCCGACCTCTATCATTCTTTCAATGAGTCTGTCTTTGCTTTAAAGCCCAGTCTATTTGTCCTCTTTCATATCACTCCATTTGTTTTTACTTCCTCAATCCGTGTTTCTTGTCCACACATCCACCTCATCAATCTGTTTTCCTGTCCTCCCCCTGTCCACCTGTGGTAATTCAGTCTGTTTTCCCTCTACTTCCCCACCGTCCCACTCTTCAGTAATTTCACCTGGCTGGGAGCCGTACGCTAATGAGAGGGTAATCAGAGGGATTTCGGGCCCCAGGCTTCTGCAGGCCCTCAGGGACCCAAGCTCGGTGGAAACTGCACAGTTAAGACTGTCTTATTAAGCTTCACACACGGTCTCAGTCCCACAGTGAAGAATGCCATTGTCAGCTGACCTCTGATCCGGGCGTCTTTCCTGCAGATCAGCAAGTCTTAATGTGATTGTCTTGACTGCTCAGACTCGGCCCAGAGCCCTGCCCTGCTTAACCTGGGTGGAGGGTTGGTTTTAAACTCTGATACGGAATCAGCTTTAGCCAGTCTAAATACTTTTTATCCTTGTAAAGATAGCATAAAGATATCAACATACATCCCGTTAAGGGAAAAACCACAGTATGCAGGGTTAAGTACCCTCAAACAAACGCAAGAACACCCTCAGATAAAACCATAGAGCGGTGCAGTGACAATGTATTTTTATAGGCCTACCTGGAAGTTCACATCACCCTGGTTCCCTTGACAAAATCCCAGTAGGATTTTTCCATTGGCTTTTGGATTATTGCAGAAAATAAGCTCCGTGACCAACAAAAATTTGATTCTTACGCGTTTTGTTCATCATGATAATCTTCACAAATGAACAACTTTTATGACCTTTGAAGCCTAAATACAATCAACAAAAGTAAAAAGCTTAATGCAGGCTATAAACAAACTGCACCATGGTCACATGACTTGATCACCACCAATAAGCTTCAACAACTCTTTAAAAACATTTTCCCTGAAAGTCTGTTAGAATAGTTAGCAACGAGGCTGTTAGCGTGAGGAGTTTACCTGCTTTTTACTTGTTAAACGTCCCCGACAACCTCTTTAGTCCCATTTAGCGATAGCTTTTGGAAAAAAACAAACAAATCTCAAGCGGGTATAACAGATGCATTTTAGAAATTTAAAATGTGAAAATATTTTAAGTTGGTTTACCACAGACCTAATTTCAAAGCCCATTGATGGCAATGGAACCAGAATTGCTAAAATGCTAATTAGTTTGCAGGTTCTAGCCTACAAATGTTACCTGCAACAATTTATATAAACTTACTGGCAAAAGAGATTTGGCCACGTGTCTTCTGTTGCCCATTTATGGACAGCTGCTTTCAGACACCGCACTGTGTGCACTCATATTTATTGCATTAAGTGTTATGGAGTGGTGTACGTAACACTGCACCTCACATATTTTAGTGCTTACCTCAGCTTTGAAACCAAGATTTCCATTAACCTTATGGTAAATTTTTAAGTTGTACTTTAAAAAAAAAAAAAGTTCTGAAAACCACAGCTGTCGATTCAGAAGTCTCAGATTTTTAGTGTAGCACTATGACATTGCTTCAAAAACCCTCACTAGCTGACAGTTAACCATTAACCTAGTCCTAACCACCTCAGAAGAGCTTTAAACCATTGCCCCTCTCCCACCAGATTAAAGGAAATACAGTTCCACATTTTTCTTGTAAAAATCTTTATTTGGTAAACAAGTGCACAGATAAAACTATGTAGGGAATAAAAACCGTACAAGTCCCTGCATCACTTTTTTCCTCGTCTCCCCGGGGCTTTCGTAGCGGCTGCAGCACCTTTCTCTCCCGATTCACCCTCCTCTGCCTTTGCAGTTTTCTTTCCAGCTTTCTTAGCCACTGGTTCCTCAACTCCTTTTGATGCTTTAGATGCTTTTTTAGCTTTGCTCGGTTTGGGCTCAGTTCCACCCTCCCCTGCAGCATTCTTCGCCTTTGGCTTCTTAGCAGGGGCCACCTTTGAGGCAGTGCCATCTCTCTCAGGCGTCTTAGGCTTAGCATCCTAAGAGAACGGGAGGAACGATAGAAAGGGGGTGGGTGTGCGTTTAGCCTTCACAGCCGAGAGTCTGCGCATGTAGAAGGTGAAAATAAGACAGAACTCACATCTGCGGCCTCCTTTTTCTTTGTGGACTTCTCCTTGCTTTTTCCTTGGATAGATAAATGGAAGAGAAAACCTAACATGGTAAAACTTGCCAAAAAGGCACGGTTACGCTCAATTAAAAAGAATCTACCATATATATATAAAAATAAAAAAAAAACCCATTCACAAGTAACTGCCATAACTACTAGAATTTTGGTACAGACTAGACTTACAAATAATGAACAAGGGCTTTTAATTCTAAGGCTCATTTACACCAATAATGAATTTTATGAAGCATAATGATTGGTTTATAAAAATTGCTGTCTTTTGATTAACATAACTGCAGTGCATATTTAAAGTTCAGAACGTTTGGTTGGCTGTAAACGCTCATCAACTGGAGAGTGAAAAATTGCAAGGGATCCAATAAATAGTTTCACTGTGCCATTGTATTAAGTTGCAAATAAGGAAAACAGCATTTCAGTCTTTTCAATGCACTACTTACAAATTATTTAGTTATTACAAGTACACTAACAATATCCGGGGGAGTGGTTTTAAAAGTAAATCCTACAATTAAGAAAACGGTGTATAAACTTTACCTTCACTCTTGACTTTAGTTGCCTTAGCTTTCTTAGGTTTAGGTGACTTCTGTACATTGGGATCAGCATTTTCCTTTGACTGCGCCTTAGCCTCCTTTGCTTTGGTCTTGGCAGCAATCTGAAAGAGACATGGAGACAATCACGAATAGAACTATATCAAAAACCCCAACAATGATTCATAAAAGGATGCCAGAAACTGGAAGTTACCCGGAAGCGTCCTTGGGCACCTGTTGTTGTTGACCCAGAATTCGCAGGTCTCACAAACACACCAGTCTCGATGCCTTTGTTCAGGGTTCGACGCACCATAAACTTCAGCCTTGTCTCATCCACGGTTGTGTACTTCTCTTTTATGTAACCCCGGATGGCCTGAGCCGAAACACCCTTTCTGGAATCCAGCGCTTTCAGAGCTTCTTTCACCATCTCCATCGTGGATGGATGTGGAGAAACTTTCCGTCCAGCGGTCTTATTGCTTGAGCTTTCAGAAGCATCTGAAACAAGATTTAAAGTCATAAAGGGAAACAGAAATCATAACCTACTAAAACAAATCCTAATAGGAACATACAAGAATTAATTTAGGACTTGGCAAACCTCACAAACCTGTTTTTGTTTCAGTGGTTCCATTCTCAGAATCCTTTGGGATTGCAGCAGTTGGCTCTGCAGAAGCTTTTTTAGGAGGCATTTCAAAAACAAATGTGAGGTTATTAAACTAAAAACAAACTTAAGTCACTGCAGCATGAGTTTTATGTGTGTCTGTTTTATTAACAGAAAGCACCCTCTGTTGTCTGTCACCTGTTCATCATTACGTCGTTTGTCCCCAATTAATTAGCCACATTAACACGATTGGTTGAGAATATGTCTGCTGTTTTCTTTCCAAGTGTTCTGTTTGTGTACCTTGTCAAAAATGTTCTAGAAGAGTTTTAACATGACAGATCCTTTGATTCTAATGTGTATTTTCTCTGGAATATTAATACTTTAGGTTTTATTTGTTAACATTACATTGCAAAAGTTAATAAACATGAGCTAGCAAAGAACAATATAGCAATTATCAATCTTAATTAATGGTCATCTGAATATTTGCTAATGTTTTCTTTTAATCAAAAGTTGTATCTCAACACTAGTTAATACACAATAAGTAGGCTAACTATTTCAAATAGGCTTACTCATTAACAAAATGCTGTAAAATTATAGCTCATTGTTAGTTCAGGTCAGCAATGCATTAAATAATGTTAACAAATTAGACCTTATTGTAAAGTATTACTCCAGGAATTCTAACATATTACATAATGCATATTTATCCATCTTCCTGGATTATCTGATTATGATGCTAGAGTTGATAACAATTTATGATACATTTGCAAAATAAAGAAATTCCTAGGAAAGTATGCCGTTTGTATATTTGTCAATCAGTTATTTATTTATTTATATTTTCATAAAGTTGGTAAAAGATACGCTATGTAATGTGCATGTGTCTTCGGGAAGAACATTATTTTGGTTGTGCTCCTCCATGTCTGAGCAATAAATAACAAATAAATAAATACGTTTTTTTCGTGTTTTTACAACAGGTAATTCTCCTGGGGGCTGTTTCATAAAACAAGTTTACCCAATAAGCCAGGTTTATTTCAATTAGTCTGACTTATTGTCAGTTGATTTGGTTCAAAATAAGTCAGACTAACTGAAATAAGCCTGGCTTATTTGGTAAACTTGTTTTATGAAACAGGCCCCTGAGGTTTGACGTTTTGATGATCCATGGCCAATTGTTCGTTGTGACAACAAACTTTCACCTTCACGCTACTCACAACCACAGCTACTTTAATCCGTGTATGACACGTAAGAACGAGTGATGTATGTATGCAATTTCCCGCGAAATCCGTCCTCATAGCTCTGAAATATAAATCAATATCGGTTATCAAAGTGTATTTGGTTAAAGACATAGTTTGGAAAATAGGTTTTTGCACTCTGTCATAACATTTTGTTTATGTATATAATAATAGGCTAATGATAAAAAATTACATAGTTCAATGTTTCTTTGTATTTCTTTGTATTTTATTTCCAAAAACGTTTTCCCTTCCAGTAATGTTATGATTCATCCTGGAGCTGGCTGGTTTGGTTCAAGGCTCTTTTATTGAAAAATTGTTAGAAATCCCTATGGAGAAAATGAATTCGGAAAAGAAAATCTGGAAACAAGGCTGTTGGAAAAGTCACTGCTTTTCCCTGAGTTCTCTCTCTTTCTTGTTCTGTAGCACCTCATCCTTTCTGTTGTTCGTTTACAATTATTCTTGTCAGAAACTTGTTTACCATAAATTCTTAAACTCCCCAACACTGACCGCAAATTGACCACTGCTGACCAAGCACCTAAACTCCTCTTTGAAATGCTAACCCTAACGCAAATAACCGCCATGCAGCCAGAACGTCTTATTAAAGTTGATTTACTACTTTGTTTTGGTCCTTTAAAATTACTTCAGCAAAGACAAATTGACTTTGCCAAGGGTCATGTGAAGAAAGAAAGGTAGAAAGAAACAGAAAATTGTTTCATTTGGAATTAATCTGGGAAATAAACCATAATTTATCAAATGCAATTACAAACAGTGGATTAGATTTATTGATAGATGTGCAATCAGGGAAATGCTGATTAATATTATAATGAGCTGAAGTATAGGCTTTTGTCTCATGAGTTAATATGATCATGATGTGATCTGTCTGGCTGTTTATTATTCATTAGGTAGTAACACATGCTAAATCATAACTGACGACATGTAGATCTGTGTCTTGTACATGTGTGAGTTTCCATACGTTTGTGTGCACACACACATATGTTCAAGGATGGATAATTTGGTTTTGATTTTTCCCAACATCTGGTTACAATGTGACTGTTTGTCTTTCAGTAAGTGCCGTTTGTGTTGGGCTTGTATGAGTGTGTGTGCAGTGAGTGTGATTTGAGTCCAGACTGCATTTGTGTTTATACATGTGTTGTGTAGATCACAGGGATTGTGAGATTGCATGCGTGTGTTGCTGTTCTTCTTAACCCATTTATACGAGAGTCATGTCACACACCCATGGGATGAGATTACTGTTATCCATAGCAAGGCCACACTCCATTTCACTCTCTCTCTCTCGATCTACACATGCTTTCCAAGGGAACGGCTGAAATTCAAATATATACAAAACACACTTAAGGCTGGAATACACTACATTACTGGAATACACTACACAACTTGTGCCCAGATTTTTGCCCCGATTTAAAGTCTGGACAAGTCAACACTAATTGCTGAAAGTCAGAGCAAGTGCGTGTTTCAGTTTTCACAGATTTCATAGAAAATTGCATGGTGTATGTATGATTCCATCCAGTGGGAGTATATCAAACATGTTTGACAATTTTGAGCCGATTTTAGAAAACATTGTTTTCATTTGCCATGAATCTGCTAATAAGGTCACATGTTTCTGCGTATTCAGTTTTCGGAATGACTTCAAAGTGTGGTATTGTGTGATCCTCGGTCAATTCGGGGGTGTTAACAGTACACCATTTTTAAGTAAAATGGAAAACTTTATGGGTTTTGGCCATTCATTCAAACGACAACAGCAAACTTTTGAAAACGGATTTTAAAAGTGCAAGTTTTTGAAAATATTACCATTGTCATCTCTGTGTAAACTAAAATGCTGCAAATTTGTGAAAAGGGTAACATCATGCATATGACTTGTTCAGTCTATAGGTGTAACGGTCTGTGTCAATGAACATGCACACGAAGATGAAGGCTTACAGTCTTTAATATGTTCACACAGGTTAATCCAGAACGGGGAGGCTGGTGACACATACACAATGTTAACTTAAGACCCGACAAACTCAAACTGCACAGACACCCATTTAAATAGACAGACCAAACAAGGATAATTAATAAGACAGAGCTGAAACTAATGACGAAATAAAATCAATAACCATGACAACGGGAAAAGAAAGCAAACTGAGAGTCCAAACTAACAGAACTGTGACAGATCGCCCCCCCCTCCCAGAAGGCGCGACCTCGCGCCGCAGAGAAGAAAGGATTAGGAGACAGCGGAGGGATGGCAAAAAGGAATGGCAAAGGGCTGGCACAGACAGGAGGAGGTTTAGGAAGTGGCCAGATGACCAACAGAGTCCAGGGTGGAACCGACGGAGGGAGGAACCAGGGAGGAGCACGGAGCAGCCAGGGCCCAGCCAGGGAGATGGCCCACGTTGGAGCCGATGGAGGGAGGAGCCATGGTGGAGGAAGGGCTGACGACTTCAGGGAGCCAACCGATGGCGGCGGAACAGGTGGTGGTGGAGCCCGAGACGGAGACAGAGAGCCGATGAGCCAGGGCGACAGGGAAGATCTGGAGGGCCAAGTCAGAGCAGATGGCTCTGGCGACCGAGGCGAAGGCAGGGATCCGGAAGGCTGTGGTGGAGCCAGAGTGACAGAGGACCAAGGTGGAGCCAGAGGGAAGGATGAGCCTGACAGAGCCGGAGGGATGGAGGGGCAGCCGGAGTCCCGAGGTGGCGGATGGTCAATGACTGACCAAGGCGGAGCCGGCGGGACGAGGGAGCCCGGTGGAGCTGGTGGCTGCTGGCCACTGAGAGGGCCTGCAGATCCCCAACTCTCTTTAAGGAAGATATCGCCAGAAGGAAAACAGTTTTGATAGAGAGAAAGTGATCAGAAATCTCCTCAATAGGCTCGAATGGAGGCTTGCAGAGAGCTTCTAACACCACAGCCAGGTCCCATGTGGGGACGCGAGATCATACCGGGGGCCTCAGCCTCACCGCACCGCGGAGGAAACGTGTAACTAGGGGGTGTCTGCCCACCGTTTCCTCGTAGAGGGAGCTCTGGATTGGAGGATGGTCTCAACAAACTCAGCTGAGAGACCGGAAGCTACGAGTTGTGCCCCCTCAGAGGCCACACCCACAGCTTCCACAGCTCCGGGCCAGGGTGGAGAATCGTACCCTCCACCTGTGAGAGGAGATCCCTCCTGACAGGAATCTCCCATGGAGAGCCGTTGAGAAGGGAAATCAGGTCCGAGAACCATACTTGGCCCGGCCAGAACGGGGCTACTAGCAGCAGACGGACCCAGTCCCGGAGCACTCTCTGCAGAACTCCCGGGAGCAGAGCATTCGGGGGAAAGGCGTACAGACGAAGCCTCAGCCACGGCTGTACCATGGCATCCAGCCCCAGTGGAGCTGGATGAGTCAGAGAGAACCAGAGGGGACAGTGCGATGTCATCTGAGTCGCAAACAGGTCCACTTGAGCCTGGCCAAAAATTCTCCATATCTGCTTCACCACCTCGGGGTGAAGCCTCCATTCCCTGGGCCTCGGCCCCTGCCTCGACAGGATGTCTGCCCCCATATTTAGATGCCCAGGAATATGCACTGCTCTCAATGAAAGGAGTTTGTCTTGGGACCACACAAGGATCTGGTGCGCCAGCTTGTACAAGGGGCGCGAACGCAGACCTCCCTGGTGGTTGATGTAAGAGACCACCACTGTGTTGTCGGTGCGCACCAACACATGACGATCTCTTAGGTCCGGGAGGAAGTGCTTCAAAGCTCGAAACATGGGTGGCCATTCATGACCGCTCCCCAACCAGTGAGGGACGCGTCCGTCGGTAGCGTTACGCGGCGACAAGGAGCTCCCAGCACCGGGCCCTGAGACAAGAACCAAGGCTTCCTCCACATGTCTAAAGCACATAGGCGTTGCCACGTGACCTTGAGCATGCAGAGCGTGTTTCCCCTCATGGAGAACTCCTTG